GGGGGGGGGGGGGCGAATCTACAGGGGCTCGGTCGCAATCATTTGCGAGGGAAATGACTCGCTCTGTAAAGTTGATGATTAAAAGTCGAATTAGCGTTGAACGGTCGAGCGACTCTTGGTGTTATCACCTACCTTCCATTGCGAACACATATAGTTTTTCTTCTTGCAATACAATATCGATTTTTTCAACGCGCTCGCTCGCGTGTGTTCGACCCGTGTTCGCCAGTCCTCCTTTTCTTTCCTAGTGGGGGAGGAGTTGAAGGGACCTCACGAAACAATTAGTCAATATGAAAAATATTACTTTTCTAGTACTGTATTTGAAGTAACACATGCGGTGAGGACTTACAAAACTTTATTTTGGGTTTTATATTTCGTTCTGCGCTAGTTTCAGAATGTGTACAGCTTTCAAGTAGATCACCGAAATCCCCAGTTCAATTCCCTGTCACGAGAAAGCTGTAGGAAATAAGTCTTTATTCATAAATAGGTTCACGTGCAAACAGTTTTATAGAAATCTGCGACCAACCGATGATTGTCCAAGGATACTAACATCAGACAATGAGAGGTACCTAATAAAAATCTTGAGGCACAGGAGAAAAAATCACAGTGACGAGTAAAATTAATCAATTAATGTAAACAAACAACCTTTGACTTTTACTAGTCATATACAGATATTAATTACAAGTCTGGTCATTTAACTATTGATTACGATAACTTCTAGTTAAAATATAAAGAAGATGAAAGTTTTTCCTTGCTATGCTTTAAGCCTACTCTACAAAATGAATCAATACAATTACGAAGAAGGTAAAATAAAAATAAAAAACTTCACGCATCATGTTACGTTTCCGTGTAATTTTTAAAAATACTTAACGCAGAAATAATTGATGGTTTAAAACGAATTTTTAACCAATTACTTAACTATACAGTAATAACTCTAAATGCAATGGTATAAATTATATAGATATTGAGTATAAACAAGTAAGTTAACTGAGCAATACACTCAACAAATAACGACAATAGGGGCTTAATAGTACAGATTCTTCGACGAAAAAGTCACTATACATTAGTTACATAATTTTGTTTATAATTACATAATGATCAGACTACTCAAACTTTATTTCAAGTTGCTAATATTAGATAGGTCTTTTACATTATTCCCTTGAAGAAAAATTATTTGTCTCTATAAAATCGTGAATCTGTTTTTATTCACGCATTCATGTTGATTCGGACACAAATGCGAAAATCACAGGTAAATCGTCACTCATAATATTCCTCACATTTACACACCTCTCACATCTTACAAAATATAAATTAAATCATCATCAATATACGTGGAAAATGACAAGTATTCAATAAAACAAGTTCTGAATAAACCTCAATATTTCCATAGAAAGAATATCAGCCGAACCTGAGAATGACAAACAAAACAAGCCCCTATCTTTCCTACCCGACATGATAAATCATATTATATATCACTGCATACGCTCTCCCCTGCTAAAGCTCAAACAAATAAAGCAATCTTAGTATCTGTTTCCATTGATCAATGTAAAACATAATCAGATTCAGAGAAGAATGAATGAAATTGATGAATGGGACCAGACAGAATTCTCAACACGTCGAAACGCCTTTAATCGATACTGTCACCTAATCATTCACTAAAGTATGGCAGCTCTATGAATGATTAAAAAACAAGAGCATTTAGAGGTACAAATACTGTTTTGACTGTCGTCGCTAATGCACATCGTAAGGTTTACATTGCAATCCTCGCGCCCCTACCGCAAAAATGGAACAGCCGACGGTGCACATGGGAGAGGAAAAACTGTCAATATTGACTTAGAATTTTTGTTAGTAATTTTCACAAGAGATATGTGACATCATACGGATGATTAATAACACATTATATCTTTTCTCAATTGATAACGATAAAATAACAGCCTTTGCAGCAAAATATTGTTTATCAATTTACAACAGTAGAGAACAAAGATTTTGGTGGGTTTTAAATTTCGCGCAAGTCGTAACAGGCTGCAATATTGTTATTATCAACAAGACACGTGCCTAATGGTCGAGATCATTAAGGGGCGAATGTTTTTATTTCATCACATACACAGGGGATGAAAAATAAAGCTCACAGGATAATATTTAATGCAAGACTTACCCTCCAAACACACGACCTGGCAGCCATCTTGGGCTAGGCGCTTGGCCAGGACATGGAGAGTATCGCTGGCAGTGAAGCTTGGCTGCTGACTTCGTTGAGTTTCCGTCACAACAAAATCACCGTACACAACAAATACACTCTCTTTGTAAGCGTTCGAAATTTTAGCTTTCAGTTCACGACACCTTATAGTTGACATCAAATCTATTTTGCCAGCAGCTAACCGCCGTAGCATAATGCTTGGAATACTGAAATTAACAGCATTGCGAATATGAGATTCACCATATTCGTTTGAACTTCGACAATCCAAAATCACAAGTCTTCCAGGGTCCGAACGCAACTCTTGTAACAACCATTCTTTACTCTTACACAGTTCCATCATAGTCAGGCGGTCACTGTCTTCATCTGACGGCATCGTTGAATACGATTTCTTTTCCCGCTTGATATCTTGTACTGTACAATGTTCACGTTACGCGCCGGTCTCGAAATGTCACTTAGGCTATGCACGGTAGGCTTGTTGCGGTGTCGTTATAACCGCTGCACGAGTTCACTCAAACACGCATCCTTTCTCACACGCGCACGCACTCATTCCCATCTTGTGCTATACTAGGAAGCCCCGCACCCTGCAGTGTCCCATTGCAAACAATGTCGCTCTCAGCTTCCGAGCAGCACGACCCTACCTCACCTACGCTTTTGGAAGATTCCAACAACAAAACCCGCCCGTACATTCATTTGTTAGTTCTACCCTCCCTCTCGCTGGCAACTCTCCCCACCACTGTTACTTCTCCTTTCTACGCCCATACTCCTCTGATCACGTGGTCTACCTCGTCAGCCAATGAGAACTCGTTACGTCACTTCATTGACTAAGATCCATAGGGTACGATTGTACGCTGACCTGGTGTTGTGTGCGGTGGGTGGAGGGGGAGGAACGCGGCAGTTACTCCCTTATTTTACTGAATGGACAGCGAGCATGCTTTTGTAAAAATTCAACGCAAAAATAACATAATGAACTGTTCTGCCCCTATGGTGCTAAATATTCATCGCCAAAATCATCAAATCAGCTTTTGTTTTGTTTTGAAAATGTAGGAAACCTCAAGGTTCTCCGGCTATTCAAAGAGATTATGACAAATCATTGACAGGAACCTTTCACAATTGGTTATTTGGGTGTCAGAATTAATTACGTCACAGAAAAAAACGCGATTGAAGTATTTTAAACATATCTGTAAGAAGATCGATTGTTTCAGCAGTAGAAATTATGTAGTTGTGATTTGTATACTAAACATTCGGCCAAAAACATTCGCGTTTACTTAAATCTTCAAAATGAAGTTCATTAACGAAACTAATTTGACTTTTTTTTATTTACATTTTGTTAACATCTTGATGTTAAATTATTTGTTTACAATTAACATATTTCCACTGTTATCTTTTGTAACTTTCGTATATTTCGCACACACCATTTGTAATTTGATCGCTTCATACATTTTCATACAAAAAAACATTGACGACAAAGAAAGTCATGAAAAAACTGTGCTACGTAATCCTATCACTAGAGTGAGTTTTCAAGCATTGCAATTGGCTGAGATACACACAATTCATTCACATAAGCTAAACACAAAATGCTATCGCAAGCGCCAGAAACGTGAATGAAAGTGGCTCATTCGGAAAGCGGTTTAGTAGTTTTTCTTTATGCATTGACACGTGATCGCAATTGTTTCTGCCAGCATAAGCGAGTGGGAAGGGCAGGTAAATACATCCGTCAGCCAATGCATTGAAGAGATACAACGGTCAATGCATCTGGGATGAAACTAGACATGTTTGCAATTTTAGAAAAAATCTGTGGGAATAAGGTAATCTACATTTGAGATTAGTAAACAATACATAATAATGTGCAACTGTATTAATGGATGAATTCATTATACATAATATTATGTTCATGACTATTTAAAACGGTTCTTAATAAACAAATATAGGTTATTTGTAGCTAGGGTTATGTCAACCGATTTTGTCTCCAGTACTTCGAGAAATAAAACCATTGATGGCATTTTGGGAGCTTCTTTCAACTATTACGGTTCAGTATCGACTCGTTGGCTTATGAATGCAGCTCTCTCCCATTCACTAAAACGCGGCCTACCCTCACTACAGACAGAGCTCGCTCACGCTGCCTGCTACCTGCCTCGTGGATCAATGCACGTCAATATTTTTCCCGTTCATGGCTAGCTGTCTCAAATTTACGACAGAACCTTGAAGCAAGAGTACATTCTTTCCTTACAAAATAAATGATTATCAGGGCATTGATTTTTAAAACTTTTGTATTATCCTACTTAATATATTATTTTATTGCACCTTGAATACAGGAATCGAGAGACCCTCGAGTTCGATTCTTAACCATTCTCCGCATGGCGGTTTAGTATGATCTTAAATTTTTTATTTCTGCTGAAACTCTCCTCGAAGTTAATATTCATATTAACATTACTTCCTAATATGAAAATATTACATTATTTTAAAGTAAATCATGCCACAAGCAAAATGAAATGATGGGATTATTTAAAAGAAAAATATTCTAATGAGATCACTTTTATTGAATTTGTTAGTAACTTATGTGTAATTTAAAATGTGCAAGTCACTTTCGGCTCGATTTAATTTTGAACATTCTACTTAAGAAATAATGACTTCTTCAATTAAAATCAATATTAAAAAATAACAGGTCAATGAAATTGCTAAGACATTCTTTACAAGAATTTGTGGATAAACATTACTTAAAATGGAAAAAAAAACTTGTTTGAATAGCATTGTTTTAAGTCATTTAGGCAAATCCCACTTGCAAAAATACAACATACATAGTAGTCCTATTCATAAGAACAAATAGTAGAGTCAACAACAAAAAATAATCCAAAGGCATTATAATATCAGGAATATTTGAAGACCTAATGCTACAGTTAGCATCCCCAGAGCCCAGATACTATTTACATACACTCAGGATGATATATTAAGAAAACAAGTTTTCTTCATTTCATGAAATTTATTTTACTATAGTTTGTCTGTAGCAAATTCATATGAACAGATTAAATTTAATTTTTTAAACCATCTTGGAATTAAATTAGAATATTTTACCTATTAGAATATTTAGATTTGTTTACCTAAAAATTTAGATTTGTTTACTCCGATTAGAATATTTTTAATAGTTTTTCTTAAACTAATATTTTGCTCTGAAAATTGACTTGCACAAGTTGCAATAAAATAAAGAAATTATTGCTGAATAAAAAGCCTAAGGATGTGGAACATTAGAATGATATGATGTTGAAAATAAAGACATATCTCTTCTGGGTTGCAATAGTGGCGCAACTCAAAATAGAAATTTTGAATTAGTGCTCTCTCCAGAATTGCAGATTGGTGTACCTTCTAGCAAGTATCTTATAGGGAAAAGTATTTCACTACCAAATGCCAGAAGTGTGAATGCAAGAATGATGCATTTCATTACAAGATGAAAACTACAAACTCGTTTATTTCAACACCTGATTTTTTGAGTTGTGCCACTGTTGCAACCAATGAACAATATGAAATTTTTTTAAAAGACAAGGAGACCAGAAACAGCATTTTAATTTTTTTATTGATACTAATTCATCATAGAGAAACCAAACTAAAGTTTAATATATTAATGTGTAGTATAATTTGTCAAGTTAAACTCTAGAAAGTCGAACGACTGATTCATTTTTATTCATTATAATTCAGTATTCATTAGAATTTATTTCTTCTTCTCCCCGTGCCTTTTCATCCTACAAAACTATTATTGAGCCATTCAATATTAAGATGTATAAATGAAAACATTTTTTGCACTTGAAAACGCATTTGTCTTGAATTTTCTACGTATTGAAAATTAAAAATAAACGATTTTTCCATTCATTATGTGTTCCACTTATTTTGAACAACCCCTCTGCTTTTAAACAGTGAAGTTGCTTATATTGAAGGTCACTTTTGAAGTGAATCCTAATATTTTTGTATGTATGTTAATTTTGTTTAACAATAATTTTTGTTGTTATTGAAGTAATGTTAAAGTGCTCAGTGAGGGTCATGATATTTTTTGTTTTTGTTTTTTGTTTTGTTTATTTAAGGTTGCATTAACTACGCAGTCATTAGCGACCACTATTGATTAATGTTAGGAGTATCGGTATACTAAATGAAGTGATATGGTGATGATGAGGGGTAAAAGGATGAACACTAATACAACCATGCCCAAGGTGAGACTCGAACCCATGATCAGCATAGCACTTTGCGGTCTTGGTCACCCATATCTGATAAATACTCTAGTTTGTCATAACTACAATATATAATGATTAACTTTTGATTGTTTATGAATAGACAACATCAGTAGTACTTTGAAGAACATCAAACTTTCTCTCAAATCACATCACAAGAATGAGCTGTGAAAAGACCATGCTAAACTACAGAAAAAGATTTGCTGGGATCAGGAAGAAATAAAAGGTTTATAAAGGAATTTTCTTTTAATATTTTACACTCTGGTACTATACAATCATTAGCATATAAAATATTTATGTTACAGGAAATCATATTTCAATAACAATTCATACTGAAAAGTGAACAATAGTATCCAAACTATTCACACACTATATAGCACATTGTTACAGGTAAAAAGTAACAATATCCACATGTTTGTCAACTTTGGCCCAATCTTAACATAAAACTTAAATTACATATGGAATAATTATACTGGTTTTCATAAAATTAATACATTAGAAGACAAAGATTTCTTAAAGTATATAAGAATTACATTTTATATCATTATTTCATGTCAATTTTATGTAATGACACTTAATAAAATAGTTTGTAGTTGTAATTGTTTTATAGAAGAAAATACAATTATTTACAAAGAAATCATGAATATAATTTAGAGCAAATAATTGGTATCTAAATACATTCCAATAAAAATAGTTTTAAACACAATTATATTTAAAAATTATCTTATTCTATATAAGTTACGAATCTGCAACCAGGTTTTCCAGACATATTCATTTTATTATCAAATGTTATTGTTCTTAACGACAAGTTATAGGCACTCTATTCATCACAGTGGCATTATAGAATAATTAGTCTTGGAAAAACTGAAAGAAAAAATAATAAAGTACTCACTTTTAACTAAGTGAAATCAAATTCTTGTGTTTGTAAAACTCTTAAAGTAATTGTCTCTCATTAAAGTAATCTTCTGAACAAAATACATTGGTTCAAGCCTTTTTTATGTTTCATCCAAATTCCAACTTAAATTCACAATTCTGATTCAGGGCTTTTTGTGTCTTCTTTTCATATTTTATAATTTCTGAATCTAAAGGAGAGAGAAAAAAAGACTTTGATGAAATAAAATCTTTTACAAAAATCATAGATGTGCACACACTAAAATAAAGTGCAGAGAGGGGACAACATTTCTGTGTCCCTCTGGGCCCCTGTTTTCATTCAATTTTTTTACTTATGATATTTTACTAGGAAATCAATAAAACATACTCCAACAAGAATTAAACTATAACTTTAATGATACAATTAATTGAAGATTCATCAATTGGTTGAATTGGTTTGTTTGATCATATTTATGGAAGTAAAATGATTAATGATGTGTAGCTATGGGATCCCATTCAATACTTTCAGTCCCCCTCTCCATATGCATTTCTATGATTACAATGTTTTTTAAAGTCTCCAATAGTAATATTAAAATTATTTCCTTAAAAAAGTGCAGAAGTCATGCTGGCAATATTAAAAATATATTGCAACTCTAATGGGAGACTTCATTAACTAAAAAGGAAGTGGATTATTGGTAATTGAAGGCCTAGAAATAAGAATTTCAAAATCATGTCTTTGAAAAACATATTGACTGAATTTGAACCAACAGCAGATCAATTGGGTATGAAGCCTTCCTCAATGCAGTCTCAAATAGTGAAGCTTTTAGTTGTGACATTACCCCATTATGGACGTGATATAGGTAATTTTATGATTTGAAAAATTAAATACAGAATAATGGCTTATGTATGAATACTAATCATCTGTTCTGGATAAGTTTTTGCCTTTTTAATTAGCAATAACCAAAAACCAATTTGCTTGGATAAATATACCAAGAACTTCCTAATATATCGCTTATTAAGTGCAACTTCTACACAATACAGTAAACTCTTGTTAGCACTTACTTAACATGAAATTTGCCATAACACAAACAAAATATGTGTCCTTGCAAGAAAAACTAGAAATATGGATATTATGTATAAAAATCTAATAACACAAATATTTATAGCAAAAAGACTGTTTATTTTGGTCACTTTGAATTTGTATTAACAAGGGTTTATCGTAGTAAGTAATAGAAACCAGAATTTTTGTACAAATATAACCAATGATAGTAACATGTGAAATGAACAGTTTTTTGTTGTAGTTTAAGGGACCATCTTATCTTTTGTACCAAAAAATTGTAGTTTCTTTGAAATTAATTACTTCATATAAATATATTTACCTACATCACTATCTGTGATTTTCATGGCTTGTTGGGATTATTACGTGATGGGCGTGGTTGATAACGGCAGACTAGGAAGGCTCCCATTGTTACGAGGAAGCAAATGAACCAGAAGACAAAAGCAGCAAGAGGTGGCATGTATGGTGGCAAGTGGGGATCTGTTAAGAGACCCAGAAACTCCTGAGCAGCTGTGGTGTTTGGTGGCAGACATGGTAACTGAACAATTATGTCTTGATGCTGCACCTGGAATTCACAAAAAAGTTATCAAATTATACTACAAATATTATTGAAGCCTATTTTAAAAATGGAATCATCAGATTAAAAAAATGAAACATTAATATTTAAGTTATTTATAAATTGATTTCATAATAGTATGTAAAGATCTCTGTTTTACTATCTCCACAAGACATTTTGTTCAGAAGTTTTAAACACTTGTAGTAAATAAAACTTTAAGTTTTAAAAAATTCTGTGGGCTGACCATGTTGGCTGATGTTGTTGGAAGACAAATGAGCTTATTTCAAAATGATCAGGAATTTAATTATTTTAGGAATAGATACTGAACAATGAATTTCATGTGTTTTTGTTTGACATTGTCTTGTTCCCTGAACCAAGGAATCTGTGAATCTGTCATCCTAACTCCTTGTAATAATTGTTTCACACATCTCCAAATTTAAAAGGATGTATTGATAACAATTATGAATATTAATATCTTTTGGGTCTTTCTCTGTAATTTGGAAAATTTGTTTGGTAAAAGTATCTATACTTGAAAAGTGTTGTTACAATGCAAATTTAATATCATTTACATTTTCACACCTTGCAAAACTGCCACAAGTATCTATTTTGTACAACCCAATCATGCTGTTTAGAATTACAAAACTGAAGTTGATGTACCCATTGTACCCTCTCAATGTATGGAATCATTTTCTAATGAGGGAAAGCACATTCTTCAATTTTGGTTTTAGTATACACTAATTACTAATGAAAAATTGATGCTTTGTTCCAACAATGAATTATTAATTCATTAATGAAATAATAGTTTAGAGTATTATTACTGCAGTTTGAATTTGGGAAAAGAATACATAATGTTTTTGTCTTCCTTCCAAAACATCTGTTTTTGATGGAAGCACTGGCTTCCATGGCCAGAGTCAGAATCTAATTGTCTGTCTGGGAGATGCTGTGTCCTAGGTATAGGTGCCAACATTTCAGCCATCATCCTATGACCTTACTCAGAATAAAATGCATTTCTGGATGGCTGAAACATTGGCATCTGTGTCTAAATGCAGCATTTTCCAGGCAGCCAAGTAGAAACTGTTCTTGATGTAGGTAAATCTTCAAAATCAAGGATTAGGCTGAAAAGTTGTTCTGAAAACATCAGGAGATTCCTGTGTTAGCCTGTAAATGAGCTAATAAAGAAACTAATAAAAATTACCAAATTGTCTTTTTATGACAGAAGTATTCAAAGTAATATTTCATCTATGTGTAAAAAAAACATTGCAGAGTATGCAAACAAGGAAGAAGTGGAATAATCTGAAAGCTCAGCAAATTATATAAATCTCAAAATAAATTCACGGAAATTTAAAGAATCTCTTACTCTCATCAAAGACATCATGACTTATGGATTTTTCTATAAAATTATCACAAAAAGAACTTAGGAAAATATCTTATTTGAACTTCAGAGTGTATTTTTGTGGAATCTATTATTTGAGTATAAATTTGAAAGTATTTCAAATACATTAAAAATTAGCCATCATCTAAACTCTGTTTAATCCAATGTTTGATCATTTCAATGACTGGGTAACTGGATAAACATTTGCTCTCCTTGAAATTCTTATTAAAAACAGTGCCAAAAATGCTGAATTTTTTTATTGCTTCATTTGGATAAGGTCAAGGCTTCACAGTTTACACATAAAATAATTAAATTTGAATTATTGCATTATTCTAAAAATCCCTGAAAGAAATGAAAATGTGGTTGAGGAGATAAAATAATTCATGTTTGGCTAGAATTCAATAAAGCATGATAATTATGAGGGTATGAGTGAAGCGTCTCTGGTAACTTAGTTGTGGTCAATTTATCATAATAAGAACTTAGGAAAATTGCAATTTTTTTCAAAATATTTTTTTCTCTTAGGCTACTATAATAGATTCAGATAATTGAAATTTTCTTCAAGTTTCCTTGAAGGTTAACAAAAATACCCAGAATAAATTAACCTTAAGAATTCTTACCTGTTTCTTACGACATGCTAAAGTGGCAAAATTTGTAGGAATGGCATCTTTCCTGTATTCACGAGTAACAAGGACAGGAAGAATCCAATGTGCAGGAGATGCAATATCTAACCATTGGCACCAGAAACCCAGATCAGCTTGGTGAACAGTGAAACCTGACACCAGGGCTAATGCTGTGAATAATAGACCTGCTAATATAGCAGCCAAATTATAAGAACGAAGAAGATGACCAAATGCAGTAAGCATCATCTGCATACTCAGAAGATACAACAACATGAGACCTGTGTCAAACAAAGAAAACATCGAGTTATTATGAAATTTATACATATTTCATTATATGAATTTTATTACAACCACGGTAGTCAAATTTACGTACCAACATAAACAGAAAAGGCATTATAATCTTCTCCTTGAATGTGAAGACCTGACATAAGGTAAGCAGGTACCAAATATGCCAACCAAACACCAGCAGATGCAGGCAAATTGTAAGTAATCTGAGAAAAATTGAGTTAACATGATTCAGCTTCTCTTATTACAAATAATGACAAATTAAATTGTTTTATTAATGATATACTTTTCTTTTAAAGTATTTATTGATTTATTATAAGCTCATTGTTTGTTGTGACTTGTAAATACATTTCAAGTGAATCTACAGAGACCAAAATAATTTGAAACAATTTATCGTTTAACAAATTTTAATATTATTGTTGATAAATTAATATATACAGTTTTTATCAATTTATTTTACACCTAATACAACATTTAATTGTAATTGTAGTTTCATACCTTGGTTATTATGTACAAAAAGCGACTGTACAAACGATCTCGTACATCTCTATGCACAGCCCAGCGTTCATGATGTACTTCACCAAGTGAAAGCAAAAGGAGAGTTGGCCAAGGTGCTAAAAATGCCATAGTTGCGTGAAATCCTATCCTGTCATTTTGAACAAAATATGGATCAGTGGTAGGCACTGACCAAAATATTGTTCCGACAATTACTGACATTGCAGCTGCTAACAATGCCCTGGTAAGCCAGCAAACAAGACTCAATGGTTGTGTGTAAGTCAGGGCTCGCCTAAAGCAAAGAAAACATTGAAAGCACATATAACGATTAAACAAGACCATTTTTTCATGAAACTCACTTAATTTCATTTGTAATATGATAATATCATTTTCTTTTCTCCAAGATATACTTACATAATCAACATGAACACTTGTGTTAAAATATTTGCTTGTCGTATTTTTGCAGGTAAAGCAATAGGTGGACCTGGGTCAGAAAGTGGTTCTTGACGCCTTTGGAAAACTTCAGCCAACTGTTCTATACGCTGACTTGATTCTAACATAGCTTCAGCAGATAGATCATCCAGCGTCACTAGATCCACTAGAAAAATTATTTAATAAAATATTTATGAAAATGTAATTTATTTTATAAACTCTCAATAAATAAAATATTGATACGGAAAGAAGTAATTCCACAACAGTTATGCACCATATATTGCAAAATCATTATTAACTCTATAATTATTACTTATTTACATACTACCTGATAATTAACAGCTAATAAAATGTGTTATAAATATAAATATTTTTTCTTATTTGCAAAAGCAAACAGTGTGATCATTAATACTATTTCTCTTTAATTGTAAGTCACAAATTTTTTACAATATATTCTACTCACAATAATAGTCAGATGGATTTTTGTATGCAGGACAAGGATATTCAACTAATGCAAAGTAGGGCAACATATCTCTTCGTCGACCACTGAACATGAGTCGGCCGGCAGAAATTAGTGCAACTCGGGATAGCATTGTAAAGATTTCATATGTGGGAGGATGAAGAGTCAAGATTACAATGCGCCCACCTGACACACCAGGTATTGTCACTGAAAACAAATTTGATTCAAATTGAGTTATTTTTTTATATTTATTTTAAGAGGTTCTTCACTTATATTTGAGGAATTCTACATACTGCCAGTCACTGTATTTCCACCAGCCCACTGGCGAAGAAATTCAACAAGAAAGAAAGTATCAAATATATCCATTCCATGGGTAGGCTGATCAAGCACTACAATGTCTGTGTCAAGAAGTAAGTGACAGGCGACATTTAAACGACGTCTTTCAGAGGTGGTAAGACTTCCAACTTTTGTGTGACGTACTTGGTCAAGACCCAAATCCTCCACTAATGCATTAATCTGAAGAATATTGTAAATGTAATTTATTAGTAGCACAGAAGGGTCATATTCAAAATCATTGTATGTGAAAGAGAAAGCAAAAGTACCCTGTTCTTGGTGTCCAATTTTCCAGCTTGAGTTGGAGATCTCCGAAGGTGATGGTGAAAACTTAATGTTTGCCGAACTGTAAGATCAGGTGAAAGGTGACTGTCACTTTGTACATATGCTACACGATCACGTAACTGTTGAGAACGGACTGACTGTCCGTTGAGGAGAACATCTCCTCGAATTTTTCCACGAGTAGATCGGCCAGCGAGAACATCCAGTAGTGTTGTACCTTCTTCCTCTGGAAACATTATAACATTTTGAAAGCTTATGTAGATATTATGCAAATTCAAATCTTCATTCAAATAGATTAATCACTAAAACAGTTGGATAGGAAATGAGCATTCCCAGTGACAATGGGAAAATCATAAAGAAGGAAATATTGTGTTCTTTAAAATCTTATATTGTAAGAACCTGTTTACAGTTCCCCAATTTATCATTCAATTGCAATCAAACTGGAAAACATTTTATTTGGAATTCGAAATAAGTTACATGTATTGCATATAATTACATCTAAATATCCAATCTGAATTTTTATTTATTTATTTATTTTTTTTATTAAAGAAAGTCAGGTTATAATTAAATTTCTACCCCGAAATTTAACATTCACAATCAATTCAAAAATACTAGCCTAATTTCAAATCACCCAAATTACTCACCAGAAGTAGCCATCACTGCCATTATTTCTCCACCATGTGCTTCAAAGGATATTCCAGCCAATAGTAAAAGCTTACTGTTTGAACTAGATTCCACTTCTAACCCTCGCACCTAAGGAATAACATTTCTCTAATGTAAATTCAATCATATTTGGGTTTGTTATAAACAAGTTTATGATAACATAGAATGTTTGTTTCTGTTTTAAACAAAAATGTTCACAAACCTGAATGTGAGGGTATTTAAAAACACCAGCAGCATCTCCAGGGTCAGGTAGATGAGTGTAGTAGGGCATTCGTGGCCCTGTTGGCACTGTAGGTACTCCAGGAGGAACACTAGTAGGTCCACTAACTTCTGAGACAGGACCCAAATGGGAACCCATTGCAGAGGCATCTTCTCTGTGAGGCACAGCACTTCGCCGACTGTGAGCCAATGAAGCATGTGAACCAGCCTTAGAAATACGTCTCCTTGGATTTGTCACCCTGAAACAAAAACACATGGTAAATGCAACATTACAAAACTGAATAAGATCATGACAAATTATAAAAGTGTGCACTAGAGTGATATACATACATTTAAAAAATTAAAACTTTTATTGACTTAATCAAAAAAAGAGGCAAAAAAATTCTTGGTGTATTTCAAATCTCAAGATTAAGTAAAATAAAATCAAAAATGAACATTACACTTATCTGATACTTACTCTTATTCTTAGTTTAAAAAATATGTTTAGGATTGTGAAGCTTCAATATAAAGAAAAGCAAATAATTATTATAATTTAAACTGTGTAAAACATATTTACAATAAACATAAATATAAAGCAAGAACAACATTTAAAATAATATTCAAGATATTCCCCCTCCCCAACGAAAAAATTAAATTGTGTTGTGGTTAGCAAACTTTTTAATTGTCAAATAAGTAATATGAAGACTGTTAAATACCTTAAAATATGTCAATAGAGGTAAATAGGAAATAAATTAATTTGTTTAACTTTGATGTCTCTAAAATTATTTTTCATTTGATTTGATTTGATTTATTTATATCAAAAACAATAAAAAGTGTATGTGACATATGGAGAACAAGGTTTTCCAAGTTTTCTTGAGCTCCATCATAAAACCTTTCCCATCCTTTTAACTAAATACAGTTGAATGATGAATAAAGAGTCCAACCAAGTGTAGATAGCAACATTTGAAAACTAGAAATACTTTGCTCTTGAGTAACAGAAAATATATTTGCAATGGCAAACAAACTACAGGCTCGATGTTACAGAATTGCTAATAAGATTGCAACACACACTACTTCAGTCTTTATTCCTAACATAACTTATAATTGTAATTCATTTAGGACTTATTAGATTATTATGAATATTGATTATTATGAATGGAAAAAGGAATTTATAATGGAAGATACAGAAGTAAAATCAATTCTCATTTTGCAACTGGCAACAGGAAACTATCTTTCGAATGTTCTTTTATCTCGGAAACATTTTTTGACTTTAGTGGATAGAATCCAAAATCCAGAACTAGAGATATGAATCCAGAATAAACAAAACAAATAAAAATTAAACTACCATTGTTTTAATTATATTCGTGTCACTTCAAGGGAACAAAATAGGAAATTTATTATACACATAAAAATGAATCAATTTCTTTCTGAATTGAATATTAAGTTAGTTCTATGATCCTCATAACTGAAAGGGTCTGTTCGGAGAGGAGCAAAGAGATGTTTGAACTTTCTTTGGGTATCAAAGAAGTATGGTTGTTAGAACATAAAATACACAATATATTTTATGAACTTAGTAGAATTGTAAGTTTCAACGTCTGCAATTATTTCCATGTACATTGTGCAGATAATTTTATAAGATATGTGCAGTGAAAAATGAGTGTGCTCATGTCAGAAAACATTCTCTGAAGAAGACGTCATTGTAGAAAATTGGTGGGAAGGGGGCCATAATTTCTCTAGTTTAGAAATGGATGACAATTCTCAAGGAATTTGAGTAAAGGAGAAAAGAATGAATACACGTGTTTAGAGTTTACTTTAATTTTAGTTTATTTACTGTCAAAAAAACAGTAAACAATTATGGCAATGAATGGGGAAGAAATATAATTTGCCCAAGAAATGATTTAAATAACAGTTTCATAGTAATGAAATTTTATTACTATAAAAAAGCTTCAGAAGCAAATTAATTAAGAATAGTTTTCTGCCTGTCTTTACTTTATGAAATATAGAGGGGAAAAAAAAAGAGAGAGAGAAATAAGGAAAAAATTGCTGAATTAAACCAACATTAGTATTGTTTAGTGTTAAAAGAATGGTAGTTTGGTTAACTAAGTCAATTGTTCCAAATATTTTTTGAAAGTGGATATGTTTTAAAACGGTAGCTAACAGCTTTGACAGTCTTAGTTTTGAATAGGAATGCATATCTCACTGGAGCTCAATGGCAAATATGGTATATTGTTGGTTTGGAAATAGACTATCATATATATGATACTATACAATATTATTTTTTTAAATAATTACATAAGTTTAACATAAATAAATATTTAAATCAATTTTACCAAATAAAAGTAGGTAACAAGCAAAAACCCTAGACTTTTCGGAGGGAGGGGATCCCCCCAGGATCTGCCACCGATGACAACCATGACGGTAACACTGCATCCCGTAAATGACATCACATGTATTGTGTGTACTGTAGGTGCTTTTCCTAAAAGAACCTATGTAAATGTAATCCAAAGGAACTTTAATTCTAGAATATGTAAAGTGTTGATGCATTTGGATCCAAAAATACTTTAATACTCATGTTGGTCTTCTTCTAAATTCCAAGTAACACAAAACTTTGACTTTCGGTCTCTGCAATTTACAAAAAAAATGTTTGTATCTGAACCATCCAAATATCCAATGCATTTTGATGCCAAGAAATTTAGATATGTTTCTGCTCTCTTCACCTTGCGGAACCTACATGAGATGGCCAAGTCAAAGTAAAATTAAACCTCAATATTGAATATTTGCAAATCATTAATCCTCTCTCCTAAAATATAATTTTTTTCAGTTGTAATTGTCTCCAACCAAATTAACAATATGTCATCAAGCTTAACTGTAGGATGATTAGTTAATATTAACTAACAGTATGTACTTAACAATATTTTAATCTAACAGAAAATATTAAAAGTTGCACTTTATCACATCCCCTAAATGTAAAATTTTAACACATTATGGGTAGCATGCGTGGATTAAATTTCCTATTTTACCAGCAGAAACAATTGTTTTCATTCAATAATTTTATAAGACTTAATTATATTTTTTATAGAAATTTATACACAATTTGAATGCAATAAATAAATAGCATACAATTTTCATTTGCATTTTTTCAAAAAAATTTATAAAAGTTAATTTATCATATGTTATCAAAGTTCACTTCAAATAACTGAAAATACTTTGGATATCCCTGAATTCACTTCGGTAATGAGTCAATGGGTGGATAGGAAGATCAGAGAAACCAGATTATGATATTCAGGTTACTAATGCCTTCAGATCAACTGTACATTCATTTCCATCTTGTTTTTGGCTATGAGCAGGCTTAAAGTCCTCTTGGCACATAGGCTCATCTAAATGTTTGGTCTTAAATAAAATGTAATTGCTCTCATGTAAATAAATGTCTTGCCATAAATAAAATAAATTTCCACCTAGTCCTTACCTATCTGCCTACTGAAAACAAGGAATTTGGAAGTTCATGTGTGAAGTCAATTTTAAATATTTCAGAGATGGATGTTATCACAAACTCAAACCATTTTCATATTTCAAGCATTGGAGAAAATTTTCTCTTTCTTGCTGATAGACTTTGAGAATGGTTCCATTCCTTCAAATCTGATAAATCTTAATGTTTGAGAGAAAAAATAAAAATTTTTAAGTTTCAAATTCATGAATTCAATTTTTTGAAATGTAGAAGTGAAGTCAAGAAGACCAATAATGTTAACAGACTAAAGTAAGTTTTCAGAAAAAGTTTGTAATAAATTCAATGATTCAATGGCTAGTAGAATAATTTGCACTTAATAAAAGTCAGTGACAAGGTCAGTCTGTACAGCATGCAGTTCTATTATTAATTTAAATAGTTTAATATCTATTTGTTATCATTCCTTTATTAATTTCAAAAAAGGAACTGATTCTTGTGCTCATTAGCTCTGGAATAAATTTAAGGCAGTTTGTGTGAAGAGTCCAGTATCAGTGAAAGTTAGGTAATGAATCAGATTAATCTTTAATAAATGTATTCCATGTGTTTACACTGTGTACTTCTAATGAAAGCTTCAATAATTATATTTTCATTTTTATACTTCCTTTGTTTATCTGGCAAAAAATTGATTCATTTAAACAATTTAATTTTTTTATATTACTAAAATAATTATGTAATTATTTGAATATAATAAGCAGAAAGAACAAATTAAGTTTCTGAATAATTAATTCCTCCTATTTCTCTCCTGTAATTCACATACACTTTTCAAATACTTAGAGAAAGAGTTATGTTCTGTAATACACAAATATAGATAAATGAAAGTGAAATTTCTGTAATATTAAAATTACAGTAAGAAATGAATTTTTTGGAAATATATATATGATGAAATTGACAGTAGTAAAAAGGTCAATAAAAATTCATCATCAAGGTCACTTCCATTTATTCAATCTCCAACATAGGGAATCAAGCAAGCTAAATCCACATCTCTTTTTTAGACTATTGAATAAAACAATGATTCAAAAATTAAATCATCATCATCTTCATATAGAATAAGTTTAAAAATGTATATGTTGCCTCACTGGAATTGATTTGCATCACTTTGAATTTTTTTAGAATGAAATGTGGAAAGAACTAATTTTGATTCTGACATTGTTGGGATTTTTGCCAAGTCTGAATGCAGAAAGGGAGGGTATTTGAGGTATTTTGAAACAAAAAAATATTGGGACCAACTTGTGATATGAAGTCATATGTTTTGAAAAAAAATATTTCTTTAGTTTATTGTTCTGAGAAACTGATTTTTAACAATTTGTATTTTATTGAGATTGGTTTTTGATGTGTTGCATTGATATAGACTGGGCAAGCAAGCATTGATCAATTGATGCTTCTGGGCACGTCAGCTGCTGTGGTCATTAGATCCATAGTATCTGTTCTATTCTAAAGGTGACAGTGTTCCTCCCTTGCTGGAACATGAGCTCTGGTGACAAGTCGGAATGCGGATTTTCCCCATCATAAATGTCAAGCAGCCATTCCCAGAAAAAGATGCTCCCAGAAAAAGAAACCCCAAAATAGTCACGGGGTATTTTTTTTAAACCCTCTTTTTTTTTAATCATAAAAATATACCCTGGTAAATCAATCAGGACTCCACTCCTAGCATCTCCAGATTCAAGACACTGCAGTGGGAACAGACATTGACCTGAAGCATAGGTGCGCACAAAGGGGTGGCCAGCGGGGTGTTGTGGCCCCCCTTAATATTTTCAAAGAGGCTCCACAGTCATACGTGGTAAAACATTTTTCCTGAAAATATTGTTCCACGCCGACTTTTCCTCGTTTCCTCTGACAAATAGCGTTTTTTGTTGTTGTTTTTTAATTTTAATTTTAGGAAATTTGGGTTGCTTTAGCAATAACAGAGGTCATTGGCGATGTTATACTACTACACAAACCTACTAAACAAACTCCCAAAGATACGAGAGATTAGATTGATCGGAGAACATCAATTTCGGGGAAAATCGGCTGAAAGATTTTAACGCTAGCGTTCACCACAGACGGAGAGACAGAGGTTTTACCGACAACAATTAATTTTTCGGAATCAAGGCCCCACAAAGCATTAAATCTGGATACACCACGCGTTAGAGGATTTTTTTCTATATTTAGTATCTGTTTTTGCCCACCTCTTCGTTACTAGAACCCTGCTGGCAGAGTTTTTTTTTTCTTTTGAAAATTCCTCGCTTTCCAGCGCTCGATTACATAACTTTCTCTTCATACGAAGTACTTTTGAAAGAGCGAGAAAGCAAAACGTTGAATGGCAAGGGGGGTTGTGTCTTAGGCCGCGCGCGCCTATGCCCTGCGGGCATACGGGAGCCGCGTTGGCACTCACCCCTGGTACTCGTCGCGGTAGTGGGCGGCGAGGGCGGCGGGCGAGCGCAGGTCGTGGACGCTGCGCCGGTGCTCGAGGTGGCGCAGGTGCGCCTCCTGGGAGAGCAGGTTGGCCTCGCTGATGGAGCGGCCGCGCTGCCAGCCCTCGGGGGGCGCGCCCCCGGGCCCCCCGCCCGGCGGAGGCCCCGGCCGCGCGCCGTGCTGCAACACCCACACCCGACACGCGCGCTAGGGAGGCGACGCCGACACTGACGAAGCGTCGATGCTCGGAATTAAAACATCGACGCTAATGATACACCATCGAAGTTTTTACACTTCAATATTCAAAATTATAACATCAATGCTAATACATCGCCGAAAAATCATCGATGTTCAAAATTAAAACATCGATGTTATCAATGCATCGCCCCAAAACCAAGGATATTTTTTTAACTTTAATGTTCAAAATTGAAATGTCGTTGTTAACAATGTATGCCCACAAAACAATCATGTCGTTCAATAATGATGTTGAAAATTATAACATCGATGTTAACAATACCAAAATCCTAATGTTAACAATTCCAAAAATAACATAGACGATTAAAGCATTGATGTTTTGAAAAGTGGTTTAGTAACCTTTAACAGTTACTCTGCGCGGCGGAGGATGCAATTTGACAGTGATAGTGATTATTCATTTACAAATTAGATTAATTAGTTTTGCTTTTCTTTTTCTTAGCGTTTCGAGAAATTTTAAATCAAAAAAATCTTTTGACATGAATTTATTTTTAACAAACACACATTTTGAAAAAGTGGTCTGACTTATAAAAAAACTAGTGTTGCTATCTCAACCATTTGCATATGTTACAATTTGTTTGGTATTTTGTCTCATTTTTTATTATTCTTTATCTTCCATTAAAACTTTAAGGTTCATTTGACTTAAGGTTTACTTAGTTCATTTTACGCAAAGTTTTCCAGGAAAATGTATACATAAACAAATACAAATAGAATATGAAAAATTGAATACTTAAGTTGGACGAATCATGGGGGAAATATAATTAATTAAAACATAAAGGCTAGCATGACGATGACATTTTTAGAGGGCGGGTGATTTGAAAACATGCGTGAAACAGCCTATGAAGATCAGGCACTCGAAGAGAAAAGAGACCACCTGAATGAAGGGTGGTTGGCGTGATATAAAGACCTCATCTGGGGAATACGAACTTGGTAAAGAACACCTCTAGACAGGCAAGACTGGAGAGACGTGTTGAAAACAGTGATAACCTGGACTGGATTGTTGAGACTAAGAATCCGATGGAGGGCAAGATGAAGAAGGAAGAAGAGAGGGGAAAGGAAGGGAAGTGAAGGAAAAGGAAGAAGAGTGGAAAAGGGAAAACAGGGAAAGAGTAGGAGCAAGAAGAAATAAGAAAGTGGAGAAAGGAGAAGAGCGAAAGAGGAATAAATACGAAGAAAAGGCAGTGAAGACGAAGAATGAAGAAAAAATAGATAAACAAAAAAGGAGAGGAAAAGAGGAAGAAGGAGGAAAGAGGAGAAAAAACAGGAATGGAAGAGAAAGGAAGAGAAAGGATGAGGAAGAGGATGAAGGAGGAGGAAAGAGGAGGAGGATTACCCACGCAGAGGCTGGGAAAGGCAGAAGAAGATACACGAATACGAGGAGGGCAGAGGGAAGTAGGAGCCTTACCCCCGGGTGCGCGCGGTAGTGCAGGTGGATGGGCGGGTGGCTGCTGCGGAAGTCGGGGTCGCTGCGCGTGCGCAGGTGCGCCCCGGCGCGCCGCAGGTACGGGGAGCCGTCGTCACTGGAGTCGTAGCCCGAGGAGCCGTCGCGAGGCCCGCGGCTGGGCGGGAACACGCGCGGCAGCCCGAACTTGAGGTACGTGTACATGTTGGCGCCCAGCGCCGACCTGAGGGCAAGGAACACACACGGAAAGAAATAAGAGATTGCAAGACCATCACAACAGAAGAGCTCGCTTCCAAAGTGACGCACAACCACGAGATCCACCACGATCGTGCTAAGCACACGTACCCCCTTAGCCCATAGCCGCGAGGCTGATGGTAGGCCCTGGCCCGTTCGCGGGCTGTCGCGCCAAGTACGGACAGACGTATAACCATTGAAATACCATTCTTTAGCTAGGGAAGGTATTCACACTTAATCTTACGATACTTGAAGTATCGTAAGATTCCACGATTTTAGGATACTGTTTAACAAAGAAGAAACTAAATTTTGGAACTTAATATTTGGCAGTATGATGAAAAAGCGCTTTAAGAATAAATTGATACGTAAAGTAAGAAAACAAATGAAAGTAGAAATACGTCACTTAGAAAATAAGCTCTTCAATTGAGGTCAGAGGATAACCTGAAAACAGCCGAAGGAAACTTGAAACCGGCTCTCAACGCGGACAGAAACGTCACTGGGATTAAGGCAAAGGCGGGAGGGTGATTTGTTAAGTGGAAGAACAAGATATTAGGCATGGGCAGTGGGTTGGTCCATTGGAAGTTCAAACCCTCAGAGAGCGTCTTAGATCCCGGTCGAGAGTTTCGAAGCGTGGAAAAACATCCTATGCGGTTTGTGTTAAGGCATTAGCAAAACTGAGTTCTCTAATAATTCCCGGTTTAGTCAGATCCTACTTTTGACCAGACTGGGTGTGATTAAATGAAGGATAAACACATAACTGAGACATCTGTTTAATAAGTACAATTTGTTTGTGGAATCCCAAGGAATTTTAACATCTTTGTGGGTATCACATTTATTATATTACCCAGCCACTATTTTGTGCCCGGATTTTAGTGACCGAAATATGAGCGAAATATACAACCATTCATGACCTAAAACTTATATCCAGGACGAGTCACTTTAGCACCTCCGGCAGTGTTTGAACGGTTGAAGATATTGCAATGCAGTTTCCACGGATGTGCATGAGGGAAGTGGGGGTAATGGTACATGTATTCACGGAAGAAGGATTCTATTTTATCACTAGTATTTTACGAGATACTGAGGTTTTTTCACATGGAACTACAATTTTTTTAGTCTATCGTGAAAAACGTAAAAAGACAAACCTAATGATTTACACGTTCTAATATAAGCATTTCTTTGAGTAATTGGTTTTTTGCAACTCCTCTTTTACAGATATTTAGAATGTAACAGTCCGCCACCGAAGATCAGACAGCACTTCCCTTGCCAGTGCACTAGAGCAAGGGAAAGCTGATCGAAGTATTTGAAGATACGAATCGCATTCCAAATTTTCACAAAACTGTTGCAAGTTTTTCCTGAACTCTGATTTCTATCCTTCCTCATTTTCAGATTTTTTTGTCTTACTTAATACTCGTATTTGAATGATTGAAAGAAAATTATTGGTTACTTCAACTACATTTAACATATCATGGGTGACATATTACAAGATATTAATGGGATCTTGAAACAAACACAATAAGAACAAATAATTAAGATTGTACAAAGAATATTGCACTTCTTGAGCAAACAATTTTAAAGTTTTCTACCCCTAAGTGATTATTATATGCTTCATAACTTTAAAATTGTTACTTATAGAAGTCAATAACTATTTGCTGAATAACTTTAAATTTTTTTTGATAGAAAGTTGAATAAAATTTATTTTCCCCTAAAAACCCTGCGAAGTCTGTAGTGTCCATCAACTATTAATGTTAAAAAAAATTATTGATGACCGGAACTTGCAACCTTTCTGCTTGCTCTTCCTAATTTGAATCTCTTGGATATCGAACGTTTTTGTTTTCTCCAATTCAATTTAAGAAACATTAATTACTGAGCAGTGGATAATCCACACTGGCTTCGGTGTGTAGAGCACCAGCGTCAATGGAGAGTAAATGTATGGTGCGGAATAGTGTGTGATGAAATTATAGGATGATTTTTTCTCATTAGTATCTTATATCACACCCCATTAAATGGAGTTGAGGTAACAAACAATTTTATTTTAATATATAGAAATGACAATTCCTATTTTCAATCCTTTAACTATTAAGACAAACTGAAAACGAGGAAGGATGGAAAGAAGAGTTCAGGAAAAAGTTGTAACAGTTTTGTGAAAATTTGGAATATGTTTCGTATCTTCAAATACTTCAATTAGCTTCCCTTATCCTAACACGTTAACAGGGGTAGAGCTGCGTGATCTTCGGTGACGGACTATTACGTTCATAATATACGTTAAGAGTAGCAAAAAAAATTAAAATTACTCAAATAAATGCTAATCTAACATATGACAAAATGTGTATCATTGAATTCGTCGTTTTACGATCGTCATCGTTAGATTAAAATATATGCATAGTTCCATGTGAAAAAAATTTACCTTAGTATCTCGTAAAATATAAGTGATAAAATAGGAATGAACACATGTATCAATTATACTCATTCCCTCACGCACATATACATGCTTTGCAATATCTTCAACCGTTCAAAAACTGTAGGAGGCGCTTAAGTTACGTGGCTCACCCTGTAAATATGATCTTAAAAATAAAACAAATATATATCTCCTATATACTATAACTAGAAAATTCACACCAGAACATATTGGGAGTATAGTACTTACTTGAAAAACAATGCAATAAACCTACAATTCCCGGGAAGTGCTGAAGAATTTCTCCGAAATCATGAATGAAACCTCAGATGAAAGTGTAGGATTCCGCGGCCGAAGACGATAACAACTTGGCTGTCCGGGAGATGCCACATCCTAGGCACAATGGCCGTCATTCTGTGACGTCTCGGCCGCCATGCTGCTACCTTCCTCGAGGCGAAATGTATGTGCGACCACGTGTGTAATGTTTAACTCGGGAGCCATTTTTGTCGGTTTAGCGTTTTGTCAACCACGCGCAACAATAAATTATGTCAACTGCCAAACTAGTATTTTTCGTTACGTGTCTACTTTTCAAACACGTTGAATATTGTAACTGTGAGTTTATTTGTGTCAATATCACTTGAAACATCGTCAAGTGAAACATATTTTAATATACTTTTATTCTTTTGTCCTTAACAATATGACAAATTAAAATATAAACAAATGTATGCAAATAGGATATTTCACTAAAAATGGGGAAAATGACTTAATATGCACACTAAAAATACGTTTTTCTGCCTTCAATACCGTATTCGGTCATAAACTGTTGTAAAATTCATCCTGAGATTCAGAAAAATATATGTCTTTTAATTAAAATCCAATCCCCAGTAAAGACAAAGTTTACGTAATAATTATTTTAACTATCAAAATATACTAAAATATAAATATGTATTTTCTTCGGGACCTTATCGTACACATTCTATAGCCCTGGTGCCTCCCACCAGTCTGCAAGAGCAGTCGATCAGGATCTGATAACGGGTCGACTCTCAGAAGACGTCAAATGTTCAGCGTAATAAGACAATCACAACGAGAAATGCTTTACTAGAGCAGTGGCACATACCTTTAATTTATGACTCAGGGCGTTCTTTTAATTAATTTTGTTAATTCAGGATTTCTCAAGCTGGTTGGAGAATGAGCGATCAAAATGTAATAGGAATTGATAAGGATGAGTATAAGGGGAAAGCGAATGTTTAATTGAGAGAAATTATATTGTTAGTACAATGATATTATCATAATATCAACAATAATCTGCTCACTGGATACGTATCTTATAAAAAAGTTTACTTAGCTGGAGTTAATTTAACTTAATTAACTTATGGAGGAACATATTTGTTTTGAAATAAGACTAGCTGAAGCTACTTGACGTTGCCCAGGTGTTTATTTATGCTCGATACGCCAATAATATTCAACTCAATTCGTCGTAATTGTTGAATAATTTTAAGAAAGATGAGAGAAATTAAGCACAGGGATATATGGAGGAACTTCAATTCTTTATCATTCAAATAACATTTAATTTCCTAAATAATATTCGTAATTTATTCATTTGTCTCGTTTGTTATCAATTTGTATTTATTTCAAGTGTATGATAAGAGTATGCCTGTTTGAATCTATATTTTATTTCATGATATTTAAATTATTTTTCCTTGATTCAAGACGCCTAGACGCATCAGACACTAGGCATATCGAAGGCTCTGGATTCAGCGGTTACAGCGATCTCAAGGGAAGCCAGAGATTGTCTCCTATTAATCGCTCGAACGAGAGCGCAATCGTTTCGAGGTAGGCGAGAAGGCGAAAGTAACAAGCGATTGAACCAGTTGCAGAGGAAGCTCACTTTCCGCTGTCCACCGTTTGTCCGTCCGTGTTATCCTTGGTATCCAGCACTTTCTTTGTCGAGTCACATGTAGGGCGACGCTTATAAAATTTGAAGTCGGGGCCCATTGAAAACCAATAACAAAAGAAATAGTTGTTTGTTAAAATTCACGTCCTTTATATCTAAAGTCGTATGTACTAAAGTCATTGAGCGATACCAGCCATGATTTACTCAATCAAAATTGAAAGTATCCATCAGTGTCTGCATTTTAGGTGATACTTTGAAGCTGTGATAAGTCTTGGGCTCTCAGTGCCAAGGATGTACTTTAAATAACATTTAAATAATCATATTGAATTAGATTTAAAAACAAATTGAATCTAGAAACACAAAATTAAAAATCTCTAATTTTTTAAACACGCATTGTTTTTCAATTTAGCATATTTTAAAAATTGTATGAGTACATTACAATTATAAGAGGGGTGAATTAATAACTTTCTCAAATTCGAATGTAGAATCTTCTTCGATATATAAAAAAGGATTCAATCTTTTGATAATTTCGTTAATTTCAATATTTGTTTCTTGCCAATAACTCCCCCTTAGGAACTTACGGATTTACTTACTTCCAGTCTAAATTCCAATTCTGTCTTTATTAGTAGACATTTATCAATTGTGCGATAAGAGTGCGATAACAGTGAGTTTGTACTTTCCATTTTCATGTCAAAAATACTTTCATAATAGGTCAATATTGTTTTACTATGTTTTAAAATTACGATGATTATGACTATATCAAAAGTACATGATTTTACGTGGTCAAATCGACCTGAGTCATGACAGACTTCATTCCAAATCTATGTGTCATGGTTTCAACATATCACGTAATATGCAGGCACTAGTAGATTCCTTCAATTTCGATTGACGGGGATATCATGACAGGTGCCGCCAAAAGTGTATTTTAACTAACAATGATTTATTTTGTTATTTGTACTTAATAGGCCTCCACAATATTCGTTTAAATTAACAAGAAACAATGTATTTAAAATACTTTTTCTGCTATATATTGAAAAGATAACGGGATCAAAGCTAATCCTTTTGAAGTTCTCTCGAGAGTATTACCCTTCACGCATGGACGTTGGGCGTGTTGCATATCTCCTTAGTACGAGTAAACACCACACTTTCTCCGCAGATAAATCAATTGTCGACTTTTTCATCTGCACGTCAATGTTTGAATGTAGAAATATTCAACACATTCTTTGCAAATTGCGCTGTAGATTCAACTAGCCAAACATGCAAGATATTGGAAAGATTTCAGTACTAAAGATGCGTGCGTCAAGACAAAAGAAAGGGTCTACTATACAAATGTTTTTTTAATGAAACTCAGACGTGAATGAACATAATATGAACCACAAATTAATATAACTAATTGTATATTTTAAAGATTAAAATTTCCACTTGATAATTTCCAATGATAGAAAAGTCCGCCTACGAAAATGACTAATGCACAATGTCCACTGCTAAACGTCCCATGTCATAAACGTGTACAAACAAATATTTCGAGTAAAAAAGTTTCAAAGCACAAACATTTTTTTATTTATGATCATACAGACACTTTGAAGCAGTAAAACAATAATTACATTGAACTTCAATATAGAATTATAGAAGTGGCTAGTCAGGAGTGTAATCAATATCGATCTACACGTATTTTGATAAGAAATTAAAGGAGACAGCAGATGCCGCGATATACAAGTGCTGCAAGTCGATGATACATTTAAGGAAAGAGATGAAGAGACATATTATGTTTGGACTCTGACAATAAAAGATACCTGAAAGAAGCAACTTTAAAAGAAATGCCAATTAACTACATACACCCAACCAAAGAAGAATAGAAGACATGGTACGGAGGTACAATGAGTACACTGACTGTACTAATAATATTAAAAGCTACATATGTAATATACCGCACACATTTAAAATTTCAATTCGAGAGGCAAAAGGAGAGCTTACTTAAAACACAACGAAGATATTTTTGTACTTTGGTCCTTTTTAGACACTTTTACGTGGACCATTTATTCCACTGAACATTTCAGAAGTTCGGACGCGTAGACATTTGGTAAATGGAAATTGACATTGAATATTTTAACATGTAATATTTGTAAAGCACACATACTTCTTTTCTTTAAGACAAGTGTGTTACACAAGAACTGAATTACATGAAAGATGTAGTTCAATAGCATACTCGTCCATCTGATCTTACTCCGTTAGACAATGTAGATAATACGGGACACTTCAAAACCTCACGTAACGCACATTACTGAAGTTCGAACATCACAACAAAGGCTGTCGGCACATTCAAGATCAACAAACAGTGTTTCAGAAAGTGCAAAGGCGTTGCGCAGAAAGATGCATTACAAGAATAATAATTAAATAGACTATTTTCTACGATTATTAACAAATTCTCGTATCTTGGAAGTCATACTAGATTCTAGTACCTACGACCATGATTTATTTTTACGAGTATCATTATAAAAAATATAATAAACGTTCTTTTAAACACTTGGTGCAGGGTCGACGAACTTGAGATACAACTATTGACATTTATCACCAACAAATATACTCCAATATACTAATATCAAACAATAACTACAAGTATTGTAAACTATCAAACCCATTTTCGCAAATACCAGTTTACCACATTTCTTATAAAAATGACATGTTGATTTACCACTTGATTATTTGTGCCGTCTATATGAACATCTCCCCTTAGTTAGAAACGCACTGATAGTGCCACAATTAATGTAACGAATTATCTTTGGCTGATTCACTGGGATTCCTGGTGGCCTGGCAATCATTCAGATTACAGCCCCGCAAAAGCCCTCTTTCTTAGCCCGGCATTAAGCCTTGTTCGCGCGCGCTGCTACACTTTTGCCACCGCCTGCGGCGCGAGGCGGGGTCAACGCTGTCGCACCGCGCTTGACGGCGCTCTCCGTAATTACAACGGAAGCGGCGCCGCTAGCGGTCCGCCACCGCCGCCGCACAGTGGCCCACAAGGCGCGAAAAACTGGGCCGCGAAAATTCTCTCTCTGATCGCTCTCACCGCTGCAAACACCAACGTTAACTAGACGGAAATGCGCGGCTTGCAGAAAACGTTTCTTACTGCAGTCTTCTCTGACCTGGCAGGTCCTAAGGTTCGAGTCCTGACGGAGGCAGGATATTCGACACTAGCTAGACAGCTAGGTAGAATTCAGCCGCTGTCTAGAGGAGAACTGTAGTGGACGGTGGCTCTGATCGAAAATGCCGGAACATTACTCTAACAAACAGGTCATGGACCTCGAGCGATCTTTCCTTCCCCTTTCTTGTCCTATTCGCACTGCTTACTTACACCCCTTTTCACTTAAATGCTCTACACTACCACACATGTAGAGATACCCGTCGTGAGCTTGTCTTGGCTTGGGCCAGTCCCGCTGGTGAGAGATACCTTGACAGATACCTTGACTTTGCAAGTCGACATGTAGGATCCCACCTTTCAGCAGAGAAAGAACACCACCACCTCCCCTGATAATACATGCAGCACACTTACGGGACCAATGATCACAGCAGTTGACGCACCCGGAAACACAAAAGAATCAATCAACCGAAACTTTTCCACCTCTTAGTATCACTAGTCATTACTCAACAACTGACCACATTTTTGAAATTAAAAACATTAAAAAAAACTAAAATAGAGGGAAAAATTGAATTAAGAAAGAATTCTCTTTCTTCAAAATTAGAGGTGTATGACACGTTCGAATATAAATCAGACCCTCGCCATTTTTCAAATTTCGTAGGTTTTAATGAAAATCTGAACTGGCATGCTTATAAATGAACTTTTCTTTATTTAAACAAAAAAAAAATTAAGACTTTTTCTAAAAAAATTGCCATATGGGCTTCATATGAACTATCCTCGAAAAATTAAAATGTGAATGATTGCTGGAATGACAATTAAATCTTACTCATAAAGCATTTTTCAACTTTCACATCAAAAGTTTCTAATACGACCGCGTTATGCGTGTCACAAATTTCTTTCCATACAGACATTCCTATTTTCGCGTAAAAATTGCGTACTTGTCCGGCCTATCAATATTAACTTCTTTTGGAACAACACTAATAGAACTTAAACCTTTAGTTCTAAGATGTTACAACTCAAACGAGCCTTAAACACGAATTTTAGGAGCAAAAATTCGAGATTGTATTGGTGAGGTGATTTCAGTAATGTGAATCCAATTATAGTGAAAAATTTCTTAAGATCAATGACCAATTCAGTTTGGTTCGTTAGCAATGACCAGCTCCGAAAAGAACACATTCTCAAACCTATTTAACAATACATCGCAATTCTGCCTGTTGTATTCTCTTATTTGTTGATTCTTAACATTGGCGATGGTGTGCAGTCGCTTTGGCAACGTTGCGTGGAAGAAGAAATGAATTGTTTGTAAAAGGACAGAAACAAAACAACGACATCCCTAGCTGTATATCATATTAATAAAACAAACTTCAAATTAAATAGTTACTACATGAGCAGTATATGTATACGAGTCTAGTATATGAGAGAATTAATCACTTAGTAATAACAAAAGAAATCCTTTGATTTTAAGATTATATTTTAGTGTGAAAACGCCTTATTCAAAAATAATAAGTTGGAACTAAAATTCATAAATTCGGCCAAAGGTTTTCGAATTCTCGATCACGTGACATGCGCTTCGTTGTGATAGGGTGGCTCGATCTAAGGATAGTAATGGTGACAGAAGGGGAAGGAAGAAACAATCGTAGTGTGCCTAGATTTTTCGACTGCATTTGACCGAAATTAATCTGGGAAAATCACGGAAACGTCGGGTCAAAGCACCCTGGCTCTCGAAAGCCCATCCAAGCAGGGGCAATGTCCGACCACTGACCGAATTCGAACCTAAGATCTCTTGAAATTCCAAGCTTCAGATGATGATATCAGCAATGAACGTTAATGCAGCATTTTCATTTAAAAAATGAACAATGACAATGTTATCTGAGGCGCTGGGGTTGAAGAACGGTAAACCATTCAGCTGTCTTGAGATATTTACTGTTTACTTTCTCACATATAATACTATACCGTAGGGAAACTATT